ATTTAAAGAAACTCGGCATTTTTCACCAAACTTCGGTTCCTTATTGTCCGGCACAGAACGGCGTCGCAGAAAGGAAAAATCGCTCTTTAATAGAAATGACAAAAGCTATGCTAATAAACTCTAAATTACCGAAAGGATTCTGGGCTGAAGCAGCAGCTACTGCTGCATATCTTCAAAATAGGTTACCAACTAAAGCCACAGATAGAACACCATATGAATTGTGGAATGGTAGAAAACCAAACTTAAGTCACTTACGAGTATTTGGCTGTAAAGCATTTTATTATGTGAACAAACAAAAACGGCGTAAATTCGACAACAGAGCTGAAGAAGGAATATTCGTAGGATACGATTTACGAAGTAAGGGATACAGGATTTATGTAGGTGGAAGGAAAATAATAGTAAGTAGAACTGTTAAATTTTCAGAAAACGCGTCTTTACCTGACAAACTTGCAGAAAATAATGCTGAAGATTTAGAATTAATTCACTTCAATAACTCGCAAGAAGATGAAGAAATAATGAAGAAACATCTCTTGGCGATGATTTTACAGAAGATTCAAAAAGTTCTGAAGAGTTAATTAAATGTGAAGAAAATGTAGAAAGAAGGGTTTCTAGCAGATCAACCAAAGGGTCCCCACCGGAAAGATTCTCTTATAAAGCAGAAGACGAAGAATCAATCTTACTTAAAATTAAAGATCCAGAAAGCTTTGAAGAAATTCTAAACTTACCAAAACGTGAACAAGAAGCTTGGATCAAGGCTATGCAAGAAGAAATACATTCTCTAAAAGAAAATGAAACCTATAAACTTACAGAATTACCACCAGGAAAACATGCAGTAAAGCAGCAAATGGGTGTTTAAGACAAAATATGATGAAACTGGTAAAAATATAAAATACAAAGCACGTTTAGTAGCCAAAGGATTACTCAAAAATACGGCAGTGATTATGATGAAACTTTTTCACCAGTAGTGAAACACACTACGATAAGAGTTTTTCTTAGCATGGGCAGCGTATAATAATGCCAAGGTACATCAACTAGATGTTAAAACAGCTTTTTTGTATACGGCAACTTAAATGAAGAAATATATATGGAACAACCAGAAGGATTCGTGGTTCCGGAAGAAAGACATAAAGTTTGTAAATTACAGAAGTCGATTTTATGGTCTCAAACAAGCAGCTAGGTGCTGGAATGCAGAAATTGAAAATACACTGAAGAATCTGGGGTTCAGTCAAAGCAAAGCAGATCCATGTCTTTTCACAAAAGTGGTTCGTGATAAAAGAATTAATTTAATAGTGTATATTGATGACATCCTAATAAGTTCTACAGAAGAAGGACTAATTCTTCAAACAATTAATGATTTAAAGAAACGTTACCAAATAACACATCTTGGTGAAGCTAAATATTTCTTACGCATGGAAATAAATCGCAAGGAATATGGAAGTTATCTCTTATCACAGAAAAATAAAATAAATCAACTTGTCAAGCAATTTCAACTTGAAGAAGCGAAACATGCTGGCACACCAATGGAAACGAACTATTATAACCTAAATAAGGAAGAAAATCTCCTAACTTCGAATGATAAATTTCGCCAAGCTATTGGAAGTCTTTTGTATATATCGTCTATCACAAGACCAGATATCACAGCTTCAACTCATATACTCAGCAGAAGGTGTAATAATCAACGTCAAAAGGACTGGAATGCTGTTAAAAGAATCATTAGATACTTAAACACGACAAAGAACCTATCCTTACAAATTTCGTCGAGTGAAGAACCTAATATTACAGTTTATTCAGATGCTGATTGGGGACAAGATATTGAAGATAGAAAATCTACATCAGGAAGTGTTATTTTATTAGAAAGAAACTGTATTTCATGGTTTTCAAGAAAACAAACTTGTGTTTCTTTATCCTCAGCAGAAGCTGAATATGTTGCACTATCGCAAGCTACGCAAGAACTATTATGGCTATTAAAATTAACAGAAGATTTCAATCTACCCCCAAACTCTACCGATAAAGGTATTTGAAGATAATCAGTCTACTATAAGACTTGTAGAATCTGAAAAATTCAGTTCACGCACAAAACATATTGATACAAAAGTTCATCATATACGTGATTTGAATAACAAAGGAATAGTAAAACTTGCTTATCTGTCAACAGGAGGAAATGGTTGCTGATATATGACTGAACTAAACCAATTCCTAAAGCTAAATTTCAGTTTTTCAGGAATGAATTACAATTGGTATGAGTTTCATTAGCAAAACAGGGGCAATGTTAGCATAAATTTAGGTATTTTGCATAATGAAACTCGAAAGGCATACGAAACGAACGTGCGCCAAGGTATATATATTGGCGAGAGAAAGTAAAGCTCGTGTGCAATGCAGTATATTTGATTTTCACCCTAGCTACTTGTACCTGGCCAAAGGTCTAATCCAGTAGTACTTTCTTCTCTTTCAGGTACGATGGCAAAGTATGTTCCTGTTTATTTTTCTTATTGCCTAAAATAGGTAAGCCTGATGATATTTAGTACTGATGATGATTCTATGTAAGTTCTCCTTTTCAATACTTCAGTGTTTTAATGTCCTTGAACATTATTACTTTTTGTTATGCTTAAGTTAAGCAGAATTATCCTATTTTATTAAAATAAAGATTTCGTAGTTAATCTTTTGACTTATGATTCTTTAATTCTGTGCTTGAGGAAACGTACTCATTACGCCTTCAGTGCTAATGCACAACCAACAAGTTTATCTTAACTTAAGAAAATGAATAATAATTAATATATAAAGAAAAGCATTGCTTTATTTAACACCTTTACAATTAATAAAAATAGTAACAATTGATTTCTTACTTTTCATGAAAGTTATAAACGAATTAACTAAAACGTTCAAATTATACAATTTAAATCCTACCATATAGCATTGTATCTTAAGTAACGAAGATACCAGCTATAAACAGAAACATTGAAATGTATTTAACATATTTTGATTATAGTTATATTACGTAACCTATTTTGATTATTTAAGTCCCTTTTTTTTCACATCTGGAAAGAAAACCAACATGACATTGTGATATTTTTTGACATAGTTGTCGTATTACATAAAAAAAGAAAATCAATACTTACGTGTGAAAAATAACGCCCAGAATTTTTTTCGAGAATCTATTTGTGCATCCATATGCAATACAAGCTGACATGCTCCAAAAAGAAAAGAAAAAAATGTTGCAATGACAGACTTCCTTGCACAAGTCACGGTGATAACAGGAAGATGGCTGCCAAGCTTCACCGTTTGAGTTGAACCTTCCCTCCTTCTATTCTAACAGACAGACAGACAGACAAAGTAGACAGATGTCTTTTGTTGCACCCGCTAAGTCTTTCTGCACCGATGGGCGAAAAATCAAGCATAGGTGCGAGTAATCAGAGGAGAGTAAAAAGGAACTTCGTATATTTTATACGAGTTCGAAAGGCCAGGAAGGAAAGATGGGACAAAATAAAGTAAAAAAATAAATGGCCCAAAAGAAATGGAGAGGAAAAAAAATTATTTATAATTAAAAAAAAGGGCCTATAGAAAGAAAAGGAAAGGAAGAGAATTGTGTTTAAAAAAAAAAAAAAAAAAACCACGATTGTGTTCATGAGTGTAGTCAAAGTTGTTATCATTTACATTTAATACAGTCTTCCAGGTGTGTGTATTGAGTGTGTTTTGTAAAGCTGAATAGATGTAAAGATGGGGGAAAATTAATAATAAAATAATAAATATTGGGGGGTCCAGTCACATGACAGTATAAGTCTTTAGAAGCTAACTTTTGCTATAACAGGAAACTAAAATTTAAAAATTTTAAATTTAAATTTTTTATTTTTTAACATGGAAACCAATATTAGCCTCTACCTTGAGACCAGTAATAGAAGACACATAGATCAAGATACATATAATATCATGCAAAGTTATACATTAAACTAAGTAACATCATCTACTGCGGTTTCCAACATATTTATATACTCAGAAAACACCATCAGATAAAATCATAAATCCAAAACAAGGCGAGAACATATCAGCAAAAATAAATAAGTAAATAAATTACGGAGTTTTTTTAATTATTAGTAATTAATTTTTTAATAAGCATTTTATTTATTTATTAAGTTAATGGTCATAATTTATTATATGTGTACTATTTTATCAATTTGAGGCACATTGTATTAATATATGCTTTTAATTTAAATAGATAGGAAATATAGATTAAAGGAGCAAAAACTACAACTCTGTACATTCATTGAGGCCCGAGATCGTGTTTTTCCCTCTCGAGCAATTCCTCAAAGGAGCCCCAGTGGGTAGGGCTAACACTATTGATAAGGGCTACTGATAAGGATAGTGTCCCTACGAGATGGTAACCAAAAAAGAAGCACATGATTTAATGCAATTACTAAGTATTTAATGCCAGAACATTATAAAATGAGCATAATAATAATAATGATCATAATAAATAAATGAGTACTTTAGTGGTATTTTAGTGACAGATATTTGATTTAGCTTAGAGAAAAGAAGTTCTACTTATCTGAACGCTCCGTCTTAGTGCTGCAAAAGATTGCAAGGAAAGACAAGACCCCCCAGGTACAGGAGAACTCCTGGCCTTGAGAACGAGACAATGCAGAGGATATTCGCGAAAATTTTCTGAAATAAATGAAGATTTTCCGGAAAACCACCTTTGAAAATTCAGGAGCTCTTCCAAGATCCTGCCTCCATCGTACATGATCACAGCGCCCCACCACCCTCTCCTTCTATTCTAACCTCTGGAATTGAGACGCTCCTGTTATTCCGATTCAGAGATCTAACTGCGTAACCAATGAGCTTTAAATAAAATTAGAGCTCACTGATCGTTACAGATTTTTTAATTTTTTAGAAGCAGCAAGAATTATTTGCCAGGGTAAATTTAATTTGAATTTTAAAAAATATTTATTCAATACTCATTTTTAATAAAAATTTAGTCATAAATAATATTCAGGTCTCAGCAAAATTAGTCATCACTGTGGCTACACAAACTTACTAAGATGACGAAATGAAAGAGTTTTGTCGTCTGTAATAATGGAGTTTTCGTTTATTTGCTTCTGTAAGTGTCTGCACTGTGTTTAATTTTTGCGAGAACTGCTTTTCGTTTTTAGAATATAAAGAGAAACTGTTTTAGTTAATTATTCAGAATTAGAGAAAAGTACTAAGACTTCTGTTGTCAACAAGTGTGTGTCACAAAATTTCCTTATGCAATATCATCGGCTTCTTATATCGAAGTTAAAATGGCCAAAGAGACAAATAGTTGGGAAGGTATTATATTTTAATTTATAATTTTGAAGTTTTGTGTATTTGAATTTGTTATTTTTCAGTTTTATAATTTTGAAGTTTTATGTATTTGAATTTTTTTTTTTTTTTTTTTTTTTTTTTTTTTTTTTGTTATTTTTCAGCTCACAAATTGCAAATTGTTTTTCATTTATTTGTAACGTATTAGTTTTGTCTGAAATTTGAGAAAACTGCCAGAAATTTTTTCTAGTTATTTAGAAAGTATCTAACATGAATTACTCTTTAATATTAGTTATGAATTGAATAACCGCATTCTATGTAAAACTTTATAAAATAATATATCAAGTACCTTCTATTATTTGTATCTGTAATTTATATAAAAACGTATCTAAAACTTATTTTGTATTTTTATTAGGTTTGTCATAAGTGTGAGACCCAAAAGCTTCTCCGATCAGTAATATACATTTTAAAGCTTCTCAGACCAGTAATATACACTTTAACTTTATGAATGAAAGTATTTCATCCATAAATAATGAGAAGGTACTCTGCCAACAGGGAATTAATGCTTTATGTTTTCCATGTTGTACATCTCAGTCCATATCTTCTAAAATACAAATATCCCCCCTTCCATTGTAGGACATTCACACCAAACACTAGGTGAGAAATTGGGAGAAAGTGCAGAATCGCCCACTGCTTCACGTGTTTTTAAGAATTGCACATACACGGTATCCATGTACACGTCGACCTATTTTCACTTATAAAACATCCCAGAATTGCACAAAAATGGCATTGAGTACACGCTTGACTTTATCCTTGTACACATCGACCTATTTTCACTTGAAAAGTCAAAGAAAATTGACAAAAATCCAATTCTTCTTACTCTTGTAAAAAGCGCCAAACAAATAAATGGGCAATTCTGCACTTTAGCAGCGAAATTGTTTCCAAGTGCTTATTAGCTAAAATCACAATCGGAATTTTTCGGAAAATGTCACATGACATGTCTCGTGATCTCATTTCTCTGAGACAAAATAATCTGTGATTCAAACTGTGTACTTCTCAGATTATTGCTACCTAGTAACCTTTATCGCCCTACCAAAATGTCGCGAAACTGCCTGTTACCATATTCCAAATATTAGCCGAGCATGGTGAGCATTTATTTATATTGAAAGTAGGGCAATAAATGACTGATTGACAATCATTGTTTAAGCAGAGACCAAATTAATCATTTTACAGATATTACTGTTATTACAAGCAATGCTATTCTATTTTTAAGGAAATCATTACACTTAAATAACTAATTGAATATTTTTGATGCTGTCTCATTTGACAACCACAACCTGCAAATAATGAAAACTTGCAACGTATGGGAGAAACATTTATTTATCTTTCAAAGGCTATAATTCTGTAACTGCTGCTATTTAGTCAGATATTGGTACTTTTCTTTACCCATATTTAAACTCTGCACTGTCTGATGGAGCGTAGCTCTTCAGCCTAACAGTATATGAAATGCAAAGCATATCCCATCGACTGTGGACGAAAATTTTAGCAATCGTCACCAATCGTTACTGTGAAATTCTAAAGGAAGAAATCATCCGTAATTAGTGCTAAATTGCAGTACTTGCTCGGTCAATGGGATAATAAATAAGTACTGAATTTTGAAACTATGAGACAAATTATAAACCAGAATAGATTTTTTTCCTTCTCTCTTCCTGCAGTGTTTCACGTTGCATCTCCAAATAATTTAATTCATAAAAAATAATTTCATTTGTTACCAATTTTTGCACTTACACTCAGTACATAAAACTACCTGCATTTGAAGAAGGGGAATGCTTTTTTTTTTTTTTCAGTTAATAGCAATATAAATATGGTTAACATATTTGGAGCAGGATAATGAAGGATGCAAAAGAATAAACGATATTGCAAAAAAAAAAAAAAAAAAAAACTTATCGCTTGTTTTCCACTTTCTGAATAGTTAAAGAAAGGGTTGATCTTTAGATTATGGTAACTTGGCGATTTTTTGGCAAAAATTTGGCGACCAACTCTCCTACAGCAACCCTCTATTTTTTTTTTTTTTTTTTTCCCCCACCGCCATTTTGTCTTCACGAAGTAAAGACATGTTTATTTTCTTTTTATCTACTGAACACTTCTTCCAACAATCTACTAGCCGAATTACACTTATGCTAGAAATTTTATCTATCAAAACTGCTTAATCATGACAAATATTCACTGCAAAATTGGGGAAAAGGGCACAATACCATACTCCTTACGCGTTTTTCAAAATGACACATACACATAAACCATGTACACGTCGACTTTTTTTTACTTAAAAAAACATCCCAGAATTACACAAAAATGGCATTGCGCACACTCTTCACTATATCCATGTACACTGCTTTTTTCTCATAAATTAGAAAAATTTCACGAAAATACATGACAATTTTCTGAATCTTTAAACCCGGTAAAAAGAACATATATATAATTACCTGATCGTGAAAAAGTATATACCCTTTCCAAATATGAACATTTCAACATATAAAATAAATAAAATATCCAAAAACTTTTACCTCTAAATCATCTCTTATATTATAAACATCACCAACGAATTCATACCGCAAGCATTACAAATACTTAGTGTCAAATATTTAAATTATTTCCATGCACGTTTACTTCAACTAAAACGGATACCAAATTCCTACAAACATAAAATTCACAAAATAACTATCATTTAATTAAAATATAATTAAATTCAAAAACACTACTTAAAATATAAATAAGCACATACATTAAATTAATAAAAATTAGCTTACAATCCTAATTACTTTAAACTAAATCATTGCTAATAACAATTTTCCCAATAATACCAAATTACAGTCAAAAGTTGTTAATCTGGACTCGTCGGGACTTTGGCGATTCCGGATTATCAATTTTTTCGAATTATAGATCATCAGTTTAAATTGCATAAGATGGCATGCAGAAATTCTAAAATTAAAAATATGAAACCGTAATTTATGAAATAAAGAACAATTATGATCTAAAGGGTATCAAAATTTACAAAAAAAAGCTTAATATTTATTTGTTTACTTTATTAACCATTTCTTTCAATGTAAGTTGTTTAAGTTGCTTCGTTTTATGCGATAATACTTTCTCTTTAATTCTATAAACAGACATAATTTTTTGTTCACTTACAAAGTTCCGCTGTTCAAGTGCCGTTAATTGCTGTGCCGAGAATACCGACTAACTTGTCAATCGAAATTTTTTCGTTTTCACTAACCTCTCTGTCACATTCTTCATGTCTTTATCCATTTTTTGCAGCAATTCCACTTTTTGTTTGATGGACATCGAAGCATACTTTCGTTTTGTACGATCCTTTGGGAGCTCCAGAATCAAAAATTCTATTTGACATAATCGAAAGTTCAAGTTTACTTTTATAGTACAGTCAAAAGTTGTTAATCCGGACTCGTCGGGACTTCGGCGATTCCGGATTATAGATCATCAGTTTAAATCTCGTTAGATGGCATGCAGAAATTACAAAATTAAAAATATGAAACCGTAATTTATGAAATAAAGAACAATTATGATCTAAAGGGTATCAAAATTTACAAAAAGAAAAAGCTTAATATTTATTTGTTTACTTTATTAAACATTTCCTTCAATGTAAGTTGCTTCATTTCATGTGATAATACTTTCTCTTTAATTCTATTAAACAGACATAATTTCTTGTTTAGTTACAAAGTTCCCCTGTTCAAGTCCTATAATTGCTGTGTTGAGAATACCGACTAATTTGTCAATCGAAATGTTTTCGTTTTCAATAACCTCTGGGTCACTTTCTTCACTATCGGAAGCGAATTATAATGACGAGGAACTTGATTTAAATCATATCAAAGACGGAGTATATCGAGATGAAATACTACACTTAGTACGGAATTATAAACCAAATAAAATAAAAACATCTGCCCTGAAGATAAGGATAGTGCTGACAGATCAACTTCCAATCCGCGGCGTGAATTTGATAAACAGATTTCGGATTTCAAAACATATTTTCGCTTTGTAGATACAAATTACATATTAGTAAATATATATTGGAAATTCTATTTGACATTATCTTTCTAATCTATCATAATCTAATAATGACATTTCTGCCCCCCCCCCTGCCGCAGAGCAGCGTGAAATTGATAAACAGATTTCGGATTTCAAAACATACTTTCGCTTTGTAGTAAGTATATATCGGAAATTCTATTTGACATCGAAAGTTCAAGCTTACTTTTATAAAATTGCTCTAACAGTCTGCAAAAAATAATAAGCCGGATCCAATTCGAAGATTAAGGAACAACGCAATCTGCAACATTAACTGAATTAGATAACTTTAGCTTAGCGTATAACTCCGTTACACATTAAACGCGCATGCGCACAAACATATTCGCAGCCGTAAGTGCTCTCGTAAACGCCTGTGCGCATGCGTGAATGCGACGCATGCGCAGAAAGTTTGTAGCTTTAAGGTCCGGATTATAGATCATTCCGGATTATGGGTGTCCGAATTAACGACTTTTGACTGTATTGCTCTTACAGTCTGCAAAAAATAATAAGCCGGATCCAATTCGAAATTAAGGAACAACGCAATCATCAACATTAACTGATATAGATTAGATAATTTTAGCTTACACCGTCCGTTATACATAAAACGCGCACGCGAAAACGTATTCTGCGCTTGCACACACGCAAATGCGCAGTCGTAAGAGGTCTTACGCGCACGCGTAAACGCCTATGCGCATGTGTCAACGCGCCGCATGCGCAGAAAGTTTTTAGCTTTGAGGTCCGGATTATAGATCATTCCGAATTATGGGTGTCCAAATTAACGACTTTTGACTGTACTTTACTTCCACCTTACATTTAGAACAATGCATAAAAATAATATCCTCAAATAATTAAAAATACTAACTTACCTAATCTTCTTCAGAATCTTGATTACGTGTCCGATAAACTTTTGTTATTTCCTCCGCTAAATAAAAAGCAAGCATATGTGCGCCTGTTTCAGGATCTTTAAAACCATACTTATAGTTCACAGCAAGGTAACAGGTAAAATAAATAACTTAATAAAACATCTTTACTTCTATCTCGCACAACCTTAAAGAAGCACTTATTACTACCCCTTTCAATACCCATTTCGAATTCACTTTAGTTAGGGCCATGGGATCCAAAAATTAATGAACACTGTTTCACACAACACAGAATAAAGCCAAATACAAAATTTCCCGATTTCCCCCCTTTTCCGATTAAAGAACCGTAATTCGTCCATTAATATCACATGATCTCTCATTTCCCTCATACAAAATAATGTGTAATCGGAACTGAGTACTGCTCACATTATTACCAAAGTCCCAGGTAGTAACCTTTATCGCCTCCAAAATGTCGCCAAACTACCAGTTACCATATTCTAAAGATCAGCCAAAAATGGTCAACATTTTAAAGGAGAAAAAAATCAGAGGAATAATAAACATCACACAAATCAGATATGTTGCATGTTATAGATATCACAAAAAATTACTTTCTTTTTGAATTGATTATCAGTTTAAAATTATAAATATTTTAGAGGGGGAGAACATTGAAGGTGGAAGCTTTTTAATCAAAACAGTCTGAAAATTAGTTATGTTTTAAAGGGGGGAAAGACTTCTGGCAATTAAATTTACCAACTGTGACAACTAATCTTCCAGTTTTGGTGACTGATAGAGGAGACTGCTTCAACAAGAAAATACTTCTTTTTTTAATTCATCTTACTTTAATTTAAAAAGTCATATTAGAAGAATATATGAGAATAATCATTCTCTGTCAAACTAAAGCATTTACTTGTCATGTATATTCCTTTTTCATGATCCATGGTACATTCCTTCTTAACAGCATATAAAAATTCTAAATATTGTATTTTGTATACTTGCTTCTGTTTATTTATTCATTTATAATTAAAAATCTTTTTCATTTGATTGATTACAACTTTAATTTCAAATCTGGAATTTAAATTTACAAGAAAATTTAATTTCTCATATATTTTATTATATCATTCTCCTTTAATTATCATTTTGAATTATGTTTTCTTGAGAAGCTGATTTTTAAATATTATAGGAATGTTTTTTATATATTGTTTACAGTAATTTTGTATTTTAAAAATAATTTTCAGAACTGAGACGGCAAGCTAGGCAATTAGAAAATGAGATAGATCTGAAGTTAGTATCATTTAGCAAATTGGGAACAAGTTATGGAAGCCAAGATTATAGAAATGAAAAGTAAGATCTGAGACTTGTTTTCATTATCATAATTGTTTTCATTAAAAGAAACTCTAATTTTGAAATATCGTTTAAAATCCATGTTAGTTTTTATGTGTGATTTGCTTCACAAGCTTTTGTTTTAAGAATTTTTCAGGCAACATGCAAAGAGTATAAAGTTGTTAATTTACATAAACTATTGATATGGGATGTTATTTATATTTATGTGCTTTCTTATACTTATTCTTCATTTATTCTGGATAAGATCTAAAAATTGACAGTTATGTATATTACGAACATTGGCTGAAGGTATTAGTAATACATATATTGGTTACATTTGCTTTGATGTTATGTTTGTGTTTCTGTAATATAATGTGCAAGATACATTTGCCTAATATTTTAATGACTTTTAATTTTTATATATTTTTAGGTTAATCTTTGGAATATGGTAACAGGTAGTTTGGCGACATTTTGGTAGGCGATAAAGGTTACTACCTAGGACTTTGGGAATAATGTGAGAAGTACTCAGTTCCGATTACGCATTATTTTGTGTGAGGGAAATGAGAGATCATGAGATATGTCATGTGACATTAATTGACGAATTACAGTTCTTTAATCGGAAAAGGGGGGAAATCTGGAAATTTTGTATTTAGCTTTATTCTGTGAAACAGTGTTGGTTAAGTTTTGAATCCCATGGCCCTATCTAAAGTGAATTCGAAATGGGTATTTAGAGGGATTGAAAGGGGTAGTAATAAGTGTTTTTTTAAGGTTGTGCGAGATAGAAGTAAAGATTGCTTATTAAGTTTTATTAAGTTATTTATTCTACCTGGTACAATGATAATATCTGATTGCTGGACCTTATATGTCTGTTTGGAGGATGAAGGTTTTCAACATCTTGCTGTGAACTATAAGTATGATTTTAAAGATCTTGAAACAGGCGCACATACGATTGCTTTTTATTTAGGGGAGGAAATAAGAAAAGTTTATCCGCCACGTAATCAAGATTCTGAAGAAGATTAGGTAAGTTAGTATTTTTAATTATTTGAGGATATTATTTTTATGCATTGTTCTAAATGTAAGGAGTAAATAAATTAATATGGTATTATTGGAAAATTATTATTAGCAATGATTTAGTTTAAAGTAATTAGGATTGTAAGCTAATTTTTATTAATTTAATGTATGTGCTTATTTATATTTTAAGTAGTGTTTTTTAATTTAATTATTTTTAATTAAATGATTTTTTTTTGTGAATTATATGTTTGTAGCAATTTGGTATTGTTTGCAGTGGAAGTAAACGTGCATGGAAATAATTTAAATATTTGACACTAAGTATTTGTAACCATTTTTATTGTTTGCGTTATAAATTCGTTGGTGACGTTTATAATAGATAATTTAGGTAAAAGTTTTTGGATATTTTTATTTATACGTGGAAATGTTCATCCTTGGAAAGGGTATATACTTTTTCGATATCAGGTAATTCATATATGTGCTTTTTGACCGATTTTTTAAAGATTTCACAAAATTTTCCTGCATTTTCGTGCAAATTTTTGTAATTTATGAGAAATAGCAATGTAGATGGATAAAGTCAATAGTGTGCGCAATGCTATTTTTGTGCAATTCTGGGATTTTTTTTCAAGTAAAAATAAGTCGACGTGTACATGGTTACTGTGTATGTGCGATTCTAAAAAACGCGGCAAGGAGTTTGCGATTCTGCACTTTTTCCCAATTTTGCAATTAATATTTGTCATGATTAAGCAGTTTTGTTCCATACAATTTCTAACATAAGTGTAATTTGGCTAGCAGATTGTTGGAAAAAGTGTTGAGTAATAAAAAGAAAAGAAACATGTCTTTAACGTCTTTACTTCATGAAGACAAAATGGCGGCGAAAAAAAAATAGAGGCTTGCTGTAGCAGAGTTTGTCGCCAAAAAATCGCCAAGTTACCATAATCCAAAGATTAACCATTTTTTATATTTTTGTAATGCAGTTCTCATGCCTAGTTAGAAAAAGCTCATTCTTTTAAAAAATCGCCAAGTTACCATAATCCAAAGATTAACCATTTTTTATATTTTTGTAATGCAGTTCTCATTGCCTAGTTAGAAAAAGCTGGTGCCTTAGGCACGGTATCTTTTAAAGGGCTTTAAACTCTCACTTTTCTTATTTTCATGAAAACGAAAGGTAAAAGTTATTTGAAAGGTATATCGGGTGAAGAATTGGAGATTTTGGTAACATTTTTAAAAAAGATAACCAGGCTGTCAATATTTATCAAAGCCTGTAAACGTTATCAGTATTTCCAAAGAAAGCACTTCAGCAATATAAACTGCAAATTTTAATTATTGGTGAAAGACCACTTTAATGGCCATTAAGACCAAACTAGAAGCCGGCCAAAGATGTTTCCTCTTCTGGTTAACAAGATCCATTTTTCATCATATGTCAAGATTTGGTCTGGGAACGAGGCTGTATCATGGTGTGACATCAATGACAAGCAGATCTTCAACTGTTGGAGTTTGTTTTCCTGAGACAGGACATGATGAACCCAACTGCTTAGTTATAATGTCATCCCTAGGTTATGAATATGTAATCGAATGGTTTTATTAGATCGCCAAAAACTGTGTGCAAACTCCTGGCAGATTTCATGAGGATTCTGCTTGATTTTCTCCTCTAGCTGGACTCAGTGGATGACAAATATAAGGCTTGTCTTTAAGGATCTCGTCTCTGGAAGGAAATTAGCTAATCTCTTTTGAGCCATTCATTTATTCACTGACATCTCTCCGGACTCATAGCTTATTCTTCTAGTGGCCTCTGCAACTTTGTTTCCTAATTTGTACTCGCAAACAAATTAGGCCTCAATCTCCTTTTCCAACAATATATTCTTTCAAAGATTGATCTTCACACAAAACCGATAGCAAAACGTACAATGCACTGAAAAGCTTTACTGAATAAGGTTTAAAACGAATGTAAACATATGATGTCATCAGAATCAGTTTGACTACACTAGCGCATCAGAAGTAAATGTTCTCAAAAACCAAACAAACTTCCTTGATTACCTGATATAAATTAGAAATTTCGACAAGTGAATTATTCTTGCCGCACATTGAAAAAAAATGCTCCAATATTAATTTTTCTATTTCTCAGTACGTTTCTCACCAAGTTTTACAAAGTTTAATATTTAAGCATAATTTGAGTCATAGACTCGAAATATGGGAAAACATAGTATATCATTTCAGAAAAAGGCTGATTTGTGTCAAAATATCCATGTTAGAACAATGCTGTATATAAATCTAATATTTGTAAGTTGCACTTTCGAGGCATGGAAAACACTAGTTAAATTTCGTCTATTGGCCAAGTAGAACAGGACATACAGACCTGCCCCCTTTTTTATTTATTTTGTATGTGTGTGTGCAGGGTATAGAACAAAGTTTTGAGTTTTCCTTTGATGTTCAAGGTGACCCTTGACTTCCAACTCCTGTAAATCCGTTTCTATATTGTGTTATTCAATGATGTGCCAACTATTTCAGTATTACTCTCTCAGAAGGAGAGATTTTTATGTATATGAATGAAAATCAATTTCTTCAGTATGTTTCTTAACATCCATGTTCCTTTCCATTGCTTAATAATACTGTATTTAATTTTAGCAGTGACACTGTTCCATTGCTCAGTAGTACAAATAGTGATCATATGTTTGAAACAATGGCTTTGGAAATAGAACAACTGCTTTCAAAAGTAAGTTTTTAATTTACTTTTTAGAAATCGGTGTTGCTTATGTATTGGTAGTGATTACACTAAATAATATGTTTAAACTTTTGGGGGGAGGGGGGGAATAGGCTCTCTTCTCTCCTTTGCTGGAGTGAAAAAATTATAATGTTGATTTTTATTCTGAAACTTCGCCTTGTCACTGTAATGATGTTATTTATAAATGTGTGTGCTTTTATTGAGAAATGATGGAGCTGTCAGTAAATATGTGCATTTAAAAGGCAGACAATATTGTATTATATACTTGTAGTAACTAATATAAAATAGATAATGCAAATATGAATCTTATGAAATTTTTAATGATTTGCATTGTTTTCTGGCTATAAAAAAAGTTCCCTTAGATAGTCTTTGAATTAAATGCCTACACTCTGAATCACTTTCGCATAATAATCCCCAAATATAGTTCACTATCATACTGTCATTGTATAATTTTTGGTAACAATATTCATAATCCAGGCAGCTTATGAATACTTGTGTTTACTTATAATTCAGTAAGCTATGTGTAGAAAATTTCCATTTTGAAAGAGATTCTGTAGTCTACTCTGCAATACCTTTTCACAAGTTTTGTCCATGGTTACTTAAAAGTCATTAAACACTTAGCTGATGCAGGTCATCTCAAGCCTTCTTTTCAGTTTCAGTAAGTTTCTAGAGGAATTCTCAACATGCCATGATCCTCAACATGCCATGATCTTCTTATCCTTATTTAATGTGTGGTGAAGACTATTGTATTTATTGCTGCATATACTGTAGAAAATTAGTTTTGGAGGTATCTGAAAGAAGCTGTTCTATACCAAAAGCTTTGACAAAATGGTTTCATTTTAATGTGCAGTGATGGCTTCGACACTTTTAGGGGATGCAGTAAGGGCTCCCACTAGCATTGTGAACACCTGTAAAAAAATTAGTAGGCCAGTCAGTAAAAATATATTTACAGGTACTCCTTGGCAAAAATTGGCGATTTTTGGCAATACATGTATACTGAGTTAGTGCAATTCTTTGACTTGTTATTTTGGCTTGTGCCAAACTGGAAGTTGATCTGTCAGTGCTATCCTTATCTTCAGGGCAGATATTTTTTGTTTGGTTTATAATTCCTTACTAAATGTAGTATTTCATCACGATGTACTCCGTCTTTGATATGATTTAAATCACATTCTCGTCATTATAAATATCACGAATACAAATCAAGTAGTTTTCTGGTTGCAATTTTCTAATTTTGACTATGCGTAATGTATGCTCTACGCATGCGTGCATTAAAAGAAATTTTTAATAAAGTAAACAAATAAATATTAAGCTTTTTTTTTTTTTTTTTTTTTTTTTTTTTTTTTTGTAAAATTTGATACCTTTAGATCATAATTGCTCTTTATTTCATAAATTACGGTTTCATATTTTTAATTTTATAATTTCTGCATGCTATCTCACCAGATTTAAACTGATGATCTGTAATCCGGAAAAATCAATAATCCGGAATCTCCGAAGTCCTGACGGGTCCGGATTTAAGACTTTTGACTGTATTAATTTGCTGTTATGGAATTGGTTTGTTGACGACAATAAAGAATAAAATTTTTGAAGCTTTTGCCAGCAAAAGTGTTTTTAATTTGTCTCTGCACTATAATGATTGTTGAGTCTGGAAGGGGGAAGTTTAACAAGATTTTTTTTTGGAAGGGACGGCTTATACCAATTGAAAGTTAATGAAATTCAAATAAGTAATTATTTGTGAACAACATTTGTAAAGATATAACCTGTGTAAATAATTGTGGGTATACAATATAGTCTAACTTGTGAAACTTTTCTGTTCTTGTAAATAATGTGCTTTTACTTTCATATTAAAACACTGAAATTTTTTTTTTCTCAGAAAGCTTCTTAGAAATATTTAATTCTGTAAATTTCAAAATACTATGTGTTTTAATATTCAGTATTTTAGGGAAGTAAATTAAATGCAATATTTTTTATGTAAGTTTTAATGAGAAATGTTGGTCTGTTTTCTTAATTTCGTATTCCATGTAAGAAAATCAAATATTGTAAAACTACCGTAATTTTGCACGTATAGTCTGCGGACTATCTGTGTTTAAAATACGAATTTTTGAAGCTGCGGACTATCCACTAGTGCAGATAATACGCTGGTTGTTCATGGTTAAAATCGTTGAAATTTAAAAAACACGCTGTCGTGAACTGCCGATGGTCAAATATAAAAAAAGCGCGAGATTCCAAGAAAACATTCGTATGTATCGTATCGATAGTAAACCATAGAGCATAGTGCAGAACGAATGAGTAGTAGCAAGTAGATCTCCTTAAATCCAGGCTGGCACATCAAGCGATGCCGGATATGAGCACTCAGCACAACCAGAGTTTTGTATCCCAGTATCCTTTGCACTGCTTTAGCGCAACTGCCGGGAGGGGGAAAAGTAGTTGATGCGTCAGCTCGATTTTCAGGAGCCTTAGTAGCAAGTACCCGGAGTACGAAAAAAAAAACCGTGATTCGTTTACTTACAAGCGTGGTTTGGCAACACCGAGTGAGTGGGGTCAAAGGTCACATTTCATTACCACTTATCACAAGGATACCATGTTGCACAGTATTTTGTTTTCGTATTTTGTCTTTCATCTTTGATGACGTTGATGAAACATCGCCGGAGTTTTACTGCCGAGTTTAAACTCAAGGTAGTTGAGAATGAAAAAGGTGGAAATATAGAAGCGGGCCATTATTTTGAAGTGGACGAGAAAGCGGTGAGAAATTGGCACAAACAAAAGGATGTGTTAAAAAGCATGGGAAGAAAGTGATCCAATTGGCACGGAAAAGTAAAATGGACAGCTTTAAAGGAAAATTTACTGAGATGGGTTCTCGACCAAAGAAATGCCGGACGCTCCATTTCAACAGTTAAAATCCGTCTCCGAGCGAAGTCCATGGCAGAAGAGATGCAGATAACGGATTTCAAGGGAGGGATAAATTGGGTTTACCGCTTCATGCGTCGTAAAAACTTGAGAGTTTGCAGCAGAACGACAGTGTGTCAGGCTGTTCCGGACGACGTAGATGAAAAAAAGCTTCTTTCCTTCAGTTTACAAGGAAAGTTATTGCAGAAGGGAAGTATTCCCTAAAAAATATTATAAATATGGACGAAGTTCCATTAGCATTTGATTGCCCACCGAATCGCACCATCGATACTTGTGGAGTGAAAACAATATCAATAACAACAACTGGTCAAGAAAAGACCCAATTCACAGTGATACTCGCCTGCTGTGCTGACGGCACAAAGTTGAAGCCGGTCTTAATCTTTAAGAGAAAAACAATTCCCAAGGAAAGTTTTCCTCGAAGCGTCGTAATACGGTGCAATGAAAAGGGTTGGTGCAACGAGGACATTATTCTCGATTGGTTTCAAGAAGTTTGGCAGAAGAGAGAAGGTGCCTTTTTCAGTTCCAAAGGAGCATTAATTATGGATTCCATGAAGGCACACATAAAAGACAGTGTAAAGGCGGAAGCTAAAAAACAAAAAAAAAAAAAAAAAAAAAATTGGTGCTGAACTTAGCGTTATTCCAGGAGATTTAACAAAAATCCTGCAACCTCTGCGATATTAGCGGGAACAAAAGTTTCAAGTCCCATGTACATGCTTGCTGGGAGATGTGGATGTTGGAAGGTTTACATACTTTCACAAAAGGAGGAAATATGAGACGCGCTTCATGCATGCTGAAGTTGCTGAATGGTTCAATAAATCCTGGAAAAGTGTTAAAGTGTCAACCATCTGATTGGGATTTATAACAGCCAGGATTGTTAGTGAAAGCGAGAAATTACTGACAGTGAAGATACTGATGCTGAAAATGAACTTTCGGACACTCTTCCTGAAAGTATATTAGAACTGTTTAATTCTGATACCGATGAATCGGACTTTGAAGGTTTTCCTGAATGTAGTAGAATGTGTGATTAATTAATATGTGATTAATTAGTAAGCACTGTTTGTATTTGTATTTAGCGTTTTATTTCTGAAGGTATATTAGTAAGCAAGTACTTTTTTTCTATTTATACTTAGTTCTTTGTTTCTAAAGAACTAAAAAACTTTCTAAAATACATTAATATCGCCGTATTAAAAAAAACGTAATTTCGGACGTATAGTCCGCGGACTATTCGGTGGTGCGGACTATCTGACGATTTTTGAAATTTTTTTATATAAAATCGTGTCTGCGGACTATACGTGCGAAATTATGGTAAGTCTTCCTCCCATGGGAAGAGCTTAGGAAATGTGAAAAAAAGGGATTTTTAAATTATTATTATGAACATTTAATGAGCAATGCAGTTTCAAATTCTTTTAGTAAAATTAGTCAATAACATTTTTTTAATTATTGAAGAAGTAAGTTTTATCAATTGCTAATTCATTTAATTAAAAGCATGCAGTTGTTTTCTATGAGTTTCAGAACTCTCTTTTCTGTATTTGGTCAGCTTACAGATGTTAATGACAAAATGATAAGTTACTGTCAAACACAAGCAGCTCCTGGTGCTACAGTTACTCATACTCTTCAGCGTCACAGAGACATACTACAAGACTGCACACACGAGTTTCAAAAGACTAAAGCTAACATCCAAGCTAGAAAAGAACGAGAACAGTTGTTGAGCTCTGTTCGCAAGGATATCGAGTATGATTTTGTAATTTAAAAATTTGTATAAAATTAAGCAAGAAACAAACTTAGATATACATAGATTTTAGAAGTTTTCCATCAAATTTGTGGGTGGCTAATGGAGATCCCTTTTCTTCAAAGAAAAAAATTAAATTTTATTAATTTTATTAATCCATTTTTTCTTTTTTTGTTGTTATTTTTATATTTTACATCAGTGTGTGCATCTCCTGTGATAAATAAGCAATTTTGAGAATACATAGATATTTTGTGCAAAAGCCCCCCCTCCCTCCATATTAGTCCTACTTGAAATCAGAGTTTTATATAAAATCTACTCCAATCTAAGATTGTTTCTTTTCCTAGTTGTTTTTACTTTGAACTGTGTGCCTTTTATAAAAAAATAATAATAATAAATAAAGAATTTATGTAATTACTTTTTAAAAGCTTTTATGAATTTTACGGAGATAACCGTATTTAAAAACATTGAATATCCATATAATTGGTATATTCTGTTCAAAATATCAAGAAACAATAATTTTGATTATTTTACAATAACATTCAAAATCAGAAAGGTACTTGCATATTATCCCATCGACTGTTAAAGTTGGCTACTATTGAACCATGAAAGTTGGCAGAGATACTCCAAAGTTGTTCCAATCCTTACTATGGAATTCTCAAACTAAAGCTTCATTAGACTAGAAGAGAAACACACTAATGTGACAATCAAAATCATAAAAACAACCTTTTATTTAGCGTAGGTATAATGAAACACTCAATCGATTTCGAGGGCAGCTAAAGGTCCCTCCTCATCGGGAGAAAGAAATACATAGAAAGAAGAAAATAAAGGAGAAGAAGTCACAAAAACACGTGCTCCTTATCAGCACTGCACGTGGTTCACCTCTCACTCCCTATTTTAACTTCACTAATTTTTCATGCTCGATCAGATAGCCTGGCTCAGTAAAAGTCCAGTGCAACTCTGATTAAAAATCTAGTTATAACCATGTGCAGTGCTGATAAGGACCACGTGTTTCTGTGACTCCTTCTCCTTTATTTTCTTCTTTCCATGTATTTCTTTCTCCTGATGAGGAGGGACCTTTAGCTGTCCTCGAAATCGATTGAGTGTTTCATTATACCTATACTAAATGCAAGTTTGTTTTTACGATTTTGATTAAAGCTTCATTATTTAATGAACAATCAGTATTCAACTCACTTTGCTTTTGAAGTTCCAAAAAAGACTCGTCGATTTCTATTATTTTGTTAATCCCTTCAGTTTTACCAGAAACTCTGTTGACAACACCATGATTATAAACTTCCTTGTTCCAGTCTATTATTATTTTGTTGACCATATTGTTTCCATAAATATGCAATTTTTTTTAATTACGGAATCCCATAATTTTGAAACAATCCACTGCTTTTTGTCTGGTGTAGAAGGCAGATCTCAAATTTTAATCATCTTTTTTTTTGTGTGTGCGAGTTCAAAGGGGTTTTGTCCCTGAGGGACTATTATTTTTGTTTTACGATATTGCGTTGAATCGCGCTGAATGTCAGTTTCACTTTTCAAACTGTTGCCACCAAATGTTAGAGTCTTATATTTGAAGAAATTAAATAATGAAGAATCTGCATAAATGTATGTATGTGTCTCGCAGTGTGATAAAACAACATTATGTAGAGCCATCTAATTTTGAATGACGTCATCCTACTGCCAATATGGGCATCTGGAAGCCCAAACTTGAAATTTAGAATTTGTTTTATTATCGATTTCATATTTTGTAAAACTTTAACGAATTTTTGATTAAAAACTCAAGGATTTCAAAGCGAGCATTGGTAATATTGTACAGGGGGGGGGGGAATTTACCTCCACTGTGTGAGACTGTGTATCGGAAATTCTAAGGATATATGTTCAATTTTAAAATTAATTTGCGATATTGCTCTTGAACTGAATTTTATGGTTTAAGTATAAAGAACATGATATTTAATAAGCAAAGGTAACACACAAAATGTTTTAAAAAAATGCCCCTTTGGACGTAATTTAAAATCTGAAACTTTTCAAATCCCCCCTTCCCAGAATGTAAGAAAAAATACAGCAATAACAGTCATAACCATGCTAAAGGGGCTGCAGTCGCCCTTTCTGAATTTGTAGTGTATATAGAATACAGTTACGAAAAGGTAGATTTTAAAGGTCAGTTAAGCCAGTGTCCTACTAAATGATGATGAAAACACTGAAGCTAGGGATTTTATTTAGAGACCTGCAAATAAATTGAAAAAAAAAAAAATTAAGTATAAATGGTTGCAGAAATATAAATGTCATTCTTATTCTGGAAAGGCTAAAAGTGCTTGTTGTTCCATGTGTGTTATTTTTAACTGTTGAAAAAGTAAGTAAAGGAAAACATGAAAAAATTGGAACTTCTGTTCAGGAACCCTACCGAGATCTGAAAAAAGTGCTGCAACCTTTTAGACATGAAACAAACATCCACAAAAATGCAGTGTTAGCCAAAAGTAATATCAAATCAATCTTTGAAAGTTAAATAATATAGACTAATAACTAGATAATAAAAAAAAAAAAAAAAAAAGATAGCATTAATGGATAATAAAGATTGTGGTTATATAGTAGATTTAACAATGCTAGAGGAAAATGACAAAATTTTCAAAAATAGTACTAAGATTTAGAGCCAGTAAAGTAGATCAAATCTGAAAAAAACCTTTTACTACTGTCAGTGAAAAATGACTTGTGTACTAACCTCGAAATACAAAATGAATTTTTAAGCTTATTTGGCTATCTTATACAGTCAAAAGTCGTTAATTCGGACACCCATAATCCGGAATGATCTATAATCCGGACCTCAAAGCTAAAAACTTTCTGCGCATGCGGCACTTGACACATGCGCATAGGCTTTACGTTTGCGCGTAACCTCTTACGACTGCGCATTTGCTGTGCACAGCGCAGATACGTTTTCGCGTGCGCGTTTTATGGTACGACGGGTCCCTCAAATTATCAATCGAATCAGTAATGTTGAGAGCTGTTCCTTATTTTCGAATTGGATCCGGCTATTATTTTTGCAGACTGTAAGAGCATACCTAAGTAAACTTGAACTTCGATTTGTCAATAGAATTTTTGATTCGGAGCCCAACGATCGTACAAACGAGTAGGTCGATGTCATCAAACAAAGTGGAGCTGCAAAAATGGTAAAATGAATGTGACAGAGAGGTTATGCAAACGAAAATTCGATTGACAAGTTTCGTATTCTCGGCACAGCAATAACGACTGAACACGACTTTGTAACGAACAGAAATTAGTCTGTTTCTAAATTAAGAAAGTAGATCACATAAATAAGCACTTAACAACTTACATGAAAGAACGTTTAATAAAGTAACTAAATATTAGCTGTGTTTTTTTTTTTTTTTTTTTTTTTGTAATTTTGATACCCTTAAGCATAATGGGTCTTTAGTCAGAAATTTTAACGGTTTTCATATTTTAGGAATTTCTTCTGCATCCATCTACGAGATTTTAACTGATGATCTATAATCCGGAATCGCCGAAGTCCCGACGAGTCCGGATTAATGACTTTTGACTGTACAAATAAATATTAATAACAAAGAAACAAACAATATTAAAAACAAAGAAAAATAAATAATATTAATAGTTAATGAAAATCAGTTCTTTTCAGTATCAGCTGATGAAACAACTGGCATTTCACAATTAGGGCAATTTTTCACTTTGTATAAGGTACATGAATAACCATGAAAATAATATTCCATGTCTAAGAACCTTATAATTATTAATCCCAATATATGATGCTTCTGGCAAAGTACTTGAAAATGTAATTATTGAAAATGAATTAATTTACAACGCTTAAGAGGACAAAGTTATGATGGAGCATCAACAATGAGATTAGAATTTTAAAGAGTGAAATCTATTATATAAAATACATATCCAGAAGCCTTATGTACACGTTTATCTCATTATTTAAACCTTTATATGAGTGATTCTTCTAGAATTCAAGACAGAAATGCTATCGGAATTATTCTCTAAATGTGCTTTTTTTTCCATGTAAATCCTAAATGCTTTAAAGTATTAGAATACAAAATTAAAAAGCTGTTCTTTCAGTGGACAAGAAACAAGTTTAAAAGGTATGCAAAACTAGGTGATGTGAAAAACATGAAGCTGTACTTCCTTTTAAAGAAATTTTTGAACCGATTGTTCATTCTTGAACTGTTGTAGAAATCAAAGATTCATTTGCTGATTATTCTCAAAAAACTGTTCAACTACAAAAATCAGCATTATATTTTCATATTTTCCCAGGACGAGTTCCACTAATTTTACCAAACCATCATCCTCAGCTGCCAAATCGCAAATGAAAAAAAAAAAAAAAAAAAAAAAATGTGCTCACTATGGCAACAAAAATGGCAGGCCAAACCAGATAAACCAAAAACTTAAGTTTAGCTGTGATTTAGTTAGCAGGCTGTGATTTAATCATTTTCCCAATATTCAAATTCTATTACTGATTTTGGCAATACTACCAATTTCACTGTGACAGTCAGGAGAATTTTTTGACTTTAAAAAGAATTAAAAAACTTAAGAAATAGTACAAATGAAGAACATTTTAGCTCTACTTTCAATTCATTGCAATTTAAGCATTGAAGTGGATAATAATGCTGTTACAGGTCATTTTAGCCAAAAATTGCTCAAATTTAATATATCTGTATAGTTAAGTTTATTCAAAAATATAAAAATTACCGAAGTTTTTCATGGTGTTATGTATAATAAAATATGAATAAAATAGAGCTTTGTTGTATCTAACATGTAAATGACATTTGGTACTTACGTATTATTGCAACCAGGTTGACGCTATTTATCTTTTTGGTTTCGAATTTGAATAAGTTGCAGAATTATTTTTTCGGCGGAAATCTTTTCGCTGTTGCTTTTACACTGATTGAAAAGAGTAGGCCCAAACCATGTACATCGACGTTTTTTACTTTAAAAAAATCCCAAATTGCACAAAAATGGCATTGCGCACCGCTTGACTTATCCTGTACACTGCTATTTGCATATGATAT